GGGGGGGGGGGGGGCAAGATTTTTGTCACCCTCACACGCACCCGAAAAAAACTGCATTAAGCCAAAACAGCTGCCACTCAATATAAAGGAAAAAAGTGCCACCGGGATGGACCACCCACTCCACACTCCTTGTTCTATGCCACAGTAATGGCCTAATTATATGCTTGCTCTAAAATAGGCCCTACCAAGGGGTTGCACATAAAACCAGAGTAGAGCACATTACAAAGTTATCTGGGGGGAAAACATGTCTTTAACATCTAACTAATGTACGGAGTCACTGCCAACTCAGTTATTGGGTAATATCTATTTTTAGAATGAATCACAGAGGCTCATGGGACTGTTATTTACAAATGGACGGCAAAACAAAGTTATTTATTGGATCTCTTATCAATTTCGCGCTGTGAAAGCCGTTAGCTTATTTGTTGTGATCTCTTAAATTTTGACTGTAGTAGAAAATTTAAAGAAATGACAGCTATAAATGCTTTAAATTTAGAATTATTTTTAAATTTTACCTGATAAGGAATTTTATTCAGTTCAGGGGGCTAATTCAATTTCGAATTGTTTTAGTTTTGTTCTTCCTTGTTAAAGCCAAGCCAAGACCTTATCAGAATTAGTACTATCAGCCTGGCCTAATAATTAATGTTTCTTATTTTCTGAGAAATTATCGTAATCAATAACTCATGCAATTTCATTGTTAGTTTTATCTTTATGAAAAGCTAGCTGCGTCACTGCCTGAAGAAGACTAAAGCTCTCGTCTTTGTACTGAACCGATTCCTCTCCCTCCAAAAAGAACAAGAAGAAACCAGTGGAGTAAAAAAATAAAAGGAATAAAACTTAAAACTTTGATGCCAGAGATGGCAAAAGGATTGTGTTTGAAATATTCTGAGGAGAGAAATGAAATGTATTCGAAGGATATTATTCAAACTTGTGCTAAACATAGACTTTGTTATGCTCACCCCAAAAGTTTTCTAAAGAACATTTACCTAAATGGATGTGAAAGTGTTATTTTAAATCATCCTGATTTATTGCAAAGTTTCACGTTTTTATAAGCAATTTTATCATCTACTTGAGTGTGTCAAAACCTTATGAACAAGTTAATTTAACAAATTATTGCCATCAACATCATCAACTGTGTGAACAGCACTATTCTCATTCCTAGAAAGATTAGTCCTATTGAAATTAGAAATCTGCAGTGAGTGTTGTGAAAGATAAAAGATTTTAAATAATAATTGAATAACTGAGTTTTTTGCGGAGACAGTCTTCGCTTCAATTTAAATACTGTGACTGAGAATAATATAGAGAGTGCAAAATGAAGCTACTTGAAAATTCCAACTTTGAAGCAGTTAACTCTGCATTATCTATGGACCTTGAGAACAGCAATACTCATCTTGACTTTCGGTCAGTAAATATTTTAATTTAGTAAATGTATATCAATGTGGATTGTGGTATTAAAATTAAAGGATTTTTTTTTTCCACAAATGGAAGAGTTAATAATTCCTTAAGTCTTAAGTAAAAAATGTTAATGTCTTTTCCAAATGCAGCCATTATTCTTTGTTTCATTTTCTTTAATTAATGTGAATTTATCAATTAATTCAACTCTTCCTTCTTTTTTTTTTATTGGTAAGATTAATAAATTACGTATTTTCATCCCAACCAGTGAAATCAGTTTTATATAGAAAATATGAATTTTGGGTAATTTAAATTTTGAAAATGTTTTGTATTAAGATGATGAATAACATCTTAAATTTCAGCATTGAGAGCTATTCCTGCAAGATGGCTGGTAATGATAAGCGCTTATTTAAAACACTGAATGAAGAAAATCGTGAGGCACCAGGTGGGCTGCAGGCTTTGTCCCCACCACAAGCCTATGGCTATACTTACAACACATCTAGCCCAAATGAGTATGTAGTTATGTTATTATGAAATGGAGAATAACCTTTTACTTGTGTTGTTGAGAAAATGTAAAGCTTCAATTATTTGTGATTCTAACTAGTATTTTTAATTATTGTTAGCTCTGATTTAACTTAAGTAGTTCAATTTGAAAGGATTTTTAAATAGTCTTGTGTTCATCCCCAGTGCCAATACCCTCTTTGTTGGCAGCCTGGAAGAAGGTGGGACATTGTGTGACACCATCTCTACCAAGACCCTCTTCTACTTGATCTCAACTCTCAATGCCTCTTTCAATCCAGACTATGACTTCAGTGCTGCTAAAAGCTCAGAGTTCAGCAGGGAAACTAGTTTAGATGTAGGTCTTCTTAATTTAAATAATAGGTTTATTTGATTTAAATTCAAAAGTTCAAGGCCGGCTCTCAATCATGTAGGAACATGAATAATTAGGTAGGAAAAATATTGAGTAAGAATATTTGTGTCAGCTTCCTAGCAAAATGCACTTGTACTTGTAGTATATTGTAAGACATAGATTTTATTGAACATAAAACATAAGCCTTTCTAATTTGATCAATAGGGGTTGAGTTATTTGATTATAAACTAATTTTTCTCTTCTTGTTTTATAGTGGGTTGAGCAAAATATCAATTCGTCACTATTTGCTGCTGCTGGGGACCGATTTGGTGCCTTCAGACAACAACTTTGGTCAGCTGTTGATGATGAAATTTGTTTAAAAGACTGCTACATATACAGGTATAAGCTGAAACATAATGTACAGATATATTTTAATTGTAATTGTAAGTCCTTATTTCATCTGCCTAAAAAACAAGATGAATTTTGTCGTTGCATGTGAAATATACACTTTATTTTTTAAATCCACAGTTACAATCCTGATCTCTCATCTGATCCATTCAGTGAAGATGGTTGCATTTGGTCTTTCAATTACTTCTTCTACAATGTGAAACTAAAGAGGATTGTTTTTTTCTCCTGCCGAGCCACAAGGTAGCAAGCCCATTTAATTCAAAACATAAGAACTACTACCACAGATAGTATTTATCATTATCTGGATATTTACTGCAAAATTAACATATTGTATATCAAAAGGCATTAATTGCATAAGATTTATTTTCATGAAGTCATCAACACATGTACCTCATACACTTTACAGGAATGAGGTGCTTGATTATGACACTGGTATGGACAATACCATGGATAACTCAGATGAATTGATGTTTACTACGTAAGTTTTATCCTAAATAAAAGTTGTTAGTTAGGTGATTGAAAGTCTTGTTGTTAGAGATTATAAATTATCACATTAAGTGTTAAGTCTGGGCTTGGATCATGGACTTCCAAGCAAAATGTTAAAAAGCTTGTCAGGGCTTTTTAACGCTAATGCCCTTCTTCTCTTTAGTACCAAGATGTGTTTTTAACAGGGACGAGAAATACATGTATTGGGAAATTTCTTTTAAAAGTTAGTGTTGTTCCTCCTCCACCTTGTCTTGTCAAGGCTGAATTTTCCACTTAACCCTTTACAGTCTGATGCGCCCGAAATGCGCCGATTTTTTCCTTAAGCGTACAGTCCGTTGCGGCCAAACCCGCCCATTTCGAGGTTGTTTACTTTCGTTCTTGGCACAGCAGAAATCCATTGCGCATTACTATTTATAGTTCTACCGGAAGAAAGCCTCGTTGTCGGCATTTATTTTGATACTAGTTTGACCGCGGTGTGTTTAGGGGCTGATTTTCTATGATTTTTTTAAAAGTCGCGATTTTTTCGCTGTAAAAAATGGCTATCTAAGCCTTGGATACACTTTTGAAAGAACTTAGGCCTAATGAAGCTTCGCTATTTCATGAGTGGGAGGGTCTCTGAAACTATTTTTAGGTTTAACTTTTGCTTTAATCATTTCTTTGTATTTAGGTATTTGTTATTTTATTTTCTTGCTTCTAGTTTATTTTCTGTAAATTAATTAGATAAAGGACCTTCATTTAAAATGGAGTTATGTCCCTTTGCTTGGGCGCTGGGATTAGACAAGGCTGAATAGGCTTGGACTGTAAAGGGTTAATTCATCTATAAAATAGATAATTGCCAAAAAATAGTTCAAATAAACAAAATTCATGTTTTAAGTTACAGAAATTGTGATCCGTCTGTGATCTGTTATGAAAGTAAAACCTTATATTTTAACTTTCAACCAAAAACTGCAACTCATAAGGATTTTAATTTTTTTTTTTTTTTTTATGATCATTCATATCAGTCTTTTAATGTTGACAAGATTTCATTGAAGCCACCACACACAATATCAAGTCATGACCAAGTTAAGCAAATTATTTGTATCGTTCTCAGCTTTAGCTCTCATAAGTGTTGTGTTTTCCATTGATCAAAATACAGCTGCTATTCTACTTGTCTAATCATTTTCTGCAGGGATGGGAGTCCTTAGAAGCTACAGCTTTTTAAGTGTGACCTAAATCCATTGGACAGCATGTTGAAAACATTCAAAGTGCAGCTGGCTGATTAGTGCATTTCCGTTTGGTAAATTAGTTAGTAATGAAATAGTTGCATACTCTATGAACATCCTTTTGAAATTGGGAAAGTTTTAAGGTCTGGTGATACTCTTAAGAGTAAAATATAAAAGTATTATTAAGCTAAGTTTGCTTTAATAAAGAGTAAAAATTTATTATTTGAATTGATGAATTTTTTTTTTTTAGTTTCTGCTATGTATATTTTTTTAAAGTATCTTAATTGTAGCAAATGATAGCATTTATGTCTATGTGTCACCATAGCTTTGTTTATTTGGTTCATATTTTTGCAAAGAATACTCTCAGTATAATTATTTGCACATATTTTTAATGCATTTTGCTTGCCATAATTATGGTGGAACTTCTAAAGATTGGTATATATTTATTATTTGAAATAATTGAAGGAAAGTTGATCAATTCCTTGACTTGAAGCTTGAAGACCTTTCAAGTGACATAAGAGTTGAATTTGAAGTCCCATAATTTAAAAAAAAAAAAGAAAAGTGGTCTGTATGCATCATATATTTTAAATGTAAAATAGTTATTTAATCAATTAATCTTTATTTATAATAACCACTTAAGAAAAATTTTGGGATTTTAATTAAGAAATGGTATCTATTGCACTAAATGAGTATAATCATTTTTATATTTACAATATTTAATCAACACTATAAAAACTGAATATTGAGTTTACTGCAGTTATATTAGGATGCAGAATATGTTTCTGCCTTTTTTTAATAACACAAAAAACAAGGGAAGAAGTGTTGTGCAAATGAGGCTGATCCATGGAATTATCCCCCATGACATTTAGTTGTAAAAGTTATATTTTTCAGAATTTTTTAATTTCTGCCATCTACATTGCACACCACTGCCCCTAATGGTGAGAAATCCATGATGAATGAATAAAAACTTTGTCAAAATACAACATAACAGAGTTTTTATGAGTTTATTTTGCAGTTTTTTTTTTTTATTTTATTGCAATTTTTATGGTAATTGAAAGAAGAGCGTGGAAAAATTCTTTCAGTGGACTCTCTCAACCTGTTGAGCAGACTGTGACTTAGCCCCAAGAAGGCAGCTTGGCCTCATGGCCTTATAAATAGTGAATGGTTTAAAATAAATCCTCTCAGAAATTAACCAACTTAACACTTTATTAATGCTTATACAATCTTTTTAATGGTTGATTTTTCCAGTAATTTTGCATTTCATATGATTTTTGTGATGATGAGGTCTAAAGATTAGATCAATTGCGTGTTGTGGTTTTTTAAACACAAATTTGAATTTAGGAGACAGAATGAAGAAGTAGGTTTTCCTTTTATTTAAATTATGATTTTACAGTCATGTTATTCAGTCAGTTCAATAAATCTTTGAATTTGGGGCATGTCTGGTTCAATTAATGTGACATCACTTTTCCTATTCATGCAACTATATTTTTAAACAAATTAAAAAAATTACCCTGTTTTTAGTTGTTGATTGTGGAAGTTTGGGTGAAAGCTAAATTGGCATCATGTACCCGATTTTTGGTTTTAAATCTTAAATATTTCATCATAAATCCTGTACTCAGAATCTGTTTGTAACATTACTGGTATTGAAACTGTCCATTTAGTCCATTTTATTAAAGGCAGGAAACTAGTTGCTATTTGTTATTGTATCAAAGTCCCTGTGTCTGCCATACACAAACAATGCTAAGTATTTCTGGCCTTCATAGGATTTCAGTTCATAATATACTCGAGTAGGAAAATGATTTTGAATTCATAATCATAACAATCATACTAATTCTAAAATATGAATTGAATAAAGGTGAAACTGAGATATTTAGTGTAAAGCTTAATACAAGAGTCAAACTTTTTTTTTAAACCCATGTTAGCTGAATATGATAACCAATAAGTTTCCTTTTTAAATTTTTTTCTTTTTGGTGTTATTTGTGTTCATTAGTTTTTATGTATGAATGTAACGTCTTTGTTTCTTAAAAGTTAAATTGGAGTTTTATTTTATTTCTAATAGAACAGTAGAAACTCAACATGACTCAATATGTTTAAATGCTTGCTTCACATTTTTTAATCAGCATGTAAAAAGAGTTATTCTACTTATTAAGCAGATACCGTATCTAGATTATAGTATGATTCAGGCTCAAAAGAGACACCACTTTTATCAACTGAGACAAATTTTCAAAAAATATTCAAGTGCACCAAAATTATAATTTGAAGTACGCTCGTCTTATTAGTATTCATTTTCTAAACATTACATTAAAATTAGGATGCCACACACACACATGATTATAAAGCTAATCCAAAGTTGGTCTCCTGGGAAATTTCCCCTTGAACAAAGTATTGAAGAAAATGTGTGAAATAATTTTTGTAACAGATATAGCTTTATTTAAAAGTCTGTTGTAAAATCATGTGCATCGCGAGCATAAAATAATTCAGACATCATGATCAATGTGAACAAAAAATGGCTTCAGAGCTTAGAAGTTTGTTGGGTTTTTTTTTCCTTTAAAAAAAAAAAGAAAATTAATTTTTATGGTAAAATTGTATACTTCATGCACAAATTGGGTAAAATTTCAACTTTACCTCCTTATTTTTTTTATCCATTGGAAAAAATATTTTGTAGAAAAAAAACACCTTTTGCCACATCTTCCTTGTTAAGTTGTAAAATGTTGCTTCATACCTTCGCATGTGCTTGTTTATTGAAGCATCACTTGTAAATATGTATCAAAAATTACCATCAACTTTATGGCTCATTATAGAAGAAAAACTTTTTTTTTTAAGCAAAGTAAATGGCACTTTTTTACATCTATCTCCCCTATGTTCTGAAATGTGTTCATAATTAGTTTATAATTATTGTATTGATTTCCTAAAGTTACAGCACAACTAACCCACCACCCCCAGTACTAAAAAAAAAATAATAATACATGTATATTTTTGTATCAATTGAGATTTTTTTCTATAACAGTTTCTTGTTGGTCTGATTGAATTGTAAATAAAAACAAATCAAACTTTCTCTGCTTTGCGTAAATGTACAATGGCAATGTTTGTTTCCCTGTCTAAAATGAAATGTTATGAGTGCAGTGGTGTTAATTAGAAACTACGAGAGACTGAAGCAGACCTGTTTACGGTAAACCCCCCCCCCCCCC